AGGGCATTTCAGCTGAGAGTTTGGGGGGGTGTTTTAATTTGAGGCTGCACTGTGGTAAACATCTTGATTCTTTGCAGCTGGCCAATCTATATTGACAATAGTATCTTCCATGAGCCAAGACCCATCCTGCTGATTGTGTGTGTACTTGTTTAGAAGCAAATCTGGGACGGTTCTACCCATTTGCCTAACCCTCTGAGTGATTTACATCATTAGATCACATTAGGGTATATGGTAGTTTTAAGCTTTATACTAGAGGAATCCACTTTTACTATCCTTTAGCAACATATTGCAAAGAAAGTCTGTCATGGGAGTGGAGGGTTCAGTGGAAACTGACTGCTCTGATGGCCATTGGACAAGGCTGGAATGGGAATAGTTAAATATGTCAATCGTGCATATAAGAATCTGTAGAATGCTCCATATGGAATTATATAAACAAGGAAATCTTAAAGAGAGCAGAATGTTCTTAAAAGCTGCAGTTAAAAATGATTTCGTGCTTGCATTTAGGCAGCTAATATTGCCTTTTCTTTTATATCTTTGTCACTTTAGTGAATGCCGGCGAACCGGTGTCCAAGTTATGCAAGCCAGGAGAGTTTCAGTGTAAAAACCAGCGCTGCATCCAAGACCGCTGGCGTTGTGATGGAGAAGATGATTGCCTTGATGGCTCTGATGAGCATTCAGAGATTTGCTGTATGTATCTGGGCAAAGTGTAGTCCATGTTTTCTTATATTAAAACTCATTAACATGACCGTGTTAACGTACACTCAAATATATGCATCCAAGGGGAATAAAAATGAAATTCTGGTTGTCTAATCATGTATTTAAATCATCCAGTTTGTCCTCAGTCTACTTAATGCAGGCAACCCCAGTGCCACGTTTGTGATGAATGGCAGCACACTGAGTCCGTTGCATGCTGGGTGGATACTGCTTCATAACACCATTCATGCTAATGATCTTCACACTCTAAGCTGCTGCTTTTCTTCCTGGGATGTTAATGCCCTTTGCCCATGCTTGGTTGCTGGGCTAGGAGGCATACTCTGCTTGCAAAAAAATAAGGAGAATCAATTTAAATACCCTGAAGACAGAATTAGTGTGCAGAAGGTTGATAAACACTTCATTGCTTCTTGGCAGTGGTGTCTTGAAGGGTGTCCAAAAAACGAGACAAGAAACTGTACAGCTTTTGCTGCCTCAGTTATGTTGTAGAAAGGGACATAAGGGAACTGAAATACAAGCAAACGAGTATTATGTTCTTCATGTCTGCCACAACTTTACTACTTAAAAACCATTGTAAGAAATCCTTGTTCTTAGGTATCTGGGAATGAGAGCAACTGTCAGCAACACTGTCCATCATGCCTGCTTCTGTGAGAATCTTAAAGTGGTACCACAAATATTTTAACAGATTATTGCAACACATAATCTAATAGAGGAGAAATACTCTTGGGCCAAATTCATAGACATTCAAAGAGAAACCAAGAGATTTCCCCCCCATAACCTGTAGATTGCCTTCATATACGACACACACATGAACAGTGGCACAAGAACCACTTACCTGTGGTGCAGTCCTTTTATTAATTGTATTTATCTATGTATTAAGATATTTTTATCTCTCCTTTCCTCTTGGCTCAAGGCGGCTTACAGGAAATAATTAAAATCTTACAGATTAAAAACCAGCTAAAACAAAAACTTACCCTCCATAATGCCTGCCACTCAAAATCCATCAAAAGTGGTGGTGGTGGTGAAACCCAACCCTTGCAGCACCTCCTAAAGATCTCCTACAAAGGAATGCCCCTCACCTCTTCAGAAAGAGCATTCCTAAAAGTGTGAGCCATGAAGGCCAGGACTCTGGTTAATGCCAGGCAGGACACTCGAAAGGGAGAGAAACAGGCCGCATGTGGAAGCATGAAGACCAGAGTTGACACATGGGGACATATGGGAAGAGACAGTTCTTCAGATCTGTGGATCCCAGGCCAGAAAATACTTTAGAGGTCATAACCAGTACCTTATCTATTAAAGTAGGAAATACACTGGCAACCAATGTAGCTGTTTCAAAATAGGTAAGATCAGGGGTCATTTCATAGAAAAAGAGCTAGGGGAACCCGGGGGAACTGCGTTCCCCCGCGTTCCCCCCCGAAATGACCTCTGGGTAAGATATGTCTCCATCAGCTAGCTTCTGGCATTAATCAGGCTGCCACATCCTGAATCAGCTATAGATTCTGGATTGTCTTCAAAGGGCAGCCTAGCATATAGCATGATACAGTAATCTAACCAAATAAGTTTACAAAAGTGGGCATCACTGTGGACAGATCAGTTGAGTCTAAGAAAGGAAAGAGATGGTGAATCAGATGCAGGTGTTCTTGGCCACTATGTCAACCTGCTTTTCAAATGGCAAGGATGGGTTCAGGAGCATCCCCTGTGCTCTTAACCTGCTCTGTGAAAGCCAGCTCCAAGCCAAGTGGATCCATTCCCTCTGGAAAATCAGCCTCCCTGACCCAGCATTGCCCCTGTCTTGACTGGGTTCAGCTTCTGCTTGTTAGCCCTTCACCACCTAACCGCAGCCTGATACAGGGCATGATCAACTATATTCATTTCAGTGGAAGAGATCTAAAAAAATGTGAATGCATTGAAGAAGCAGTTTAAAAGCCTATTTAGTAACGGGCTTATCTCTCCACTCATTAAGATGAATCTATATGAAACATATGATGTTTCCACATAAATAATTAATTGTTGTGTTAAATACTGAGAATATGCACAAGTGATAAGTAAATAGTAATTTGGTTGTGAGGCTTTGCGTACCAGGTGAATCTTGAACAACCACAATTATTTCCTTAAACCTGGAACTGTATTAAATTTCATCCAACTACAGATAAAACCCAAATCATTCCTCAGATCCCAAATTGTGAACGTGGTCACAAAAGGGTTCCTGCCCATTTGGTGTGCTAAACCCCAGATAAGAGCATAAATGAGTGGTGTGGAACAGCAGCATCTGTTTATCTATTTGAGGGTTCTTGTGTTTGGTTTTGAAGGATGTTGAAGTGACATCTCTAATAAGCAGGGGTCTTGTTGTAGAAAAAGAGCTGCCGGAGCTCATTAGCATAACTCATTAGCATAACTTATTTGCATATGCCACGCCCCCTGACATCACCAGAAGTGACAGAAGGCCACACCCCCTGACATCACCGGAAGTGTGTCAGAAGGCCCGGCTACTTACCCTCCTGCTTCATCCTCATTCCCAAACGGAATGAGGATCGAAGCAGAGGGCGGGGTAAAGAAGGGGGCGGGGCTTCACCACGTGACCGCCCCGCCCCCTAGAGGTTCTCTTCCGGAGCTCCGTACCTGAGAGCTCCCCCCCGACTAGAGCCCTGCTAATAAGTGACGTTATCTGTAACAGTCCATGTGTGGAGGCCACAGTGTGAAAACTTCATTTCCCTCTTGAGAGTTCCAGCACCTCTTTTTCCAGGGGGAAAAAAAAGCCCTGGGATTAAGACTCAGTTTACTCAGTTTAAAGATGTTTTGGCTTGGATGCAGACTAGTGTTTCTGTGGGTTCAAGGTTTGGGGGTTTTTTGCTTGTAGAGAATGAGTTCCTCTCTTGCACAACAGCACAACCGCCCCCCCCATCATGTTCCTGCAGGTCCCCGGGAACAGGTGAGAAAGTTGCACTCTTTTGCCCCCCCAGACGGAAGAAACAGTCAGACAACAAGGTTGGATGAAATAAGGCCACTTTATTAAATTATTAACTTTAAACTTAACGGCAAAGGGCAACCATGAAAACAGCGGCACGGCCGGGCCTGGCGTCGCTTCGACTCCCATCCTCAAACCATAGGTAGGCAAGACACCAGGGGCCCCCCGGGTTGGAGCCAATTATAAGTCGCTTGCAATCCCGGCCGAGCCAAAATTGGGATGCGCCCTCAGGAGCCCTCAAGCACCACCGAATGGCCAGCGCTGAGTCTCCGTCGTGACCATCCCCATAGGCGGTCTGCAATCCTCACCCAGACCACACGGCTACAAGGCTGGTCAAGCAGACCCCTCTACCCACACCTGGGGTTATTAAGTGGTGCTTGCTGGCCGCTGAACTGTATTTTAACCTGAATCTGCCCTAACAAAGTGACGAACTAGCCCCTAGGCACCATCGCTCGCAGGCCTTTCTCGGCGCTCACAAGGGAAGTGCATCAAAGGCGGGTGGGCCGAGCACGAGGCGAGCGACTGTCTGGGGAGAGCGGAGCAAGCCTATTAAGGCTGCGCAGGCTCCGCTCCCCCTATTGGAGCTACGGCTCCACCGCAGTCTGCCTAACTGGTCCTCCTCACGAGGAGTCAAACGCGGTCCCCACGAGGCACGCTCGGGCTGTCTCGTGTGGGGCCAGATTGGCAGCAAACCTTGTGCCCAGAGGAACACTGATATGGACCCAAGTCATAGAGGTGTATCACACAGTCTCAATCTGCTGCAGCAAGAACACTTCTGCCAAGGGGTGATTTTCACCAGTTCCTTCTTCCTACTGCAGATCTCCACACTGAGCTAGTGCTATTCCTTTGAGTCTTCTGGACCCTGGGGCAGTATTTTTGAGTGCAGAGAATGTAACAGGACAGGAAAAAAATCTATTCCATGAGTGGATCGAGGATGTTATCAACCAATGGAATTAACTTGGGGGGACGGACGGACCAGATGGGATTTATTTATATAAAGCCACATAATAATGTATATACTTCATATACATTTCTTTTAGTAATGATTTAGAGATGTTATCTCATCTGTCTTTAAAATACATGTATACACAAACTATTTCTTGGGGGGAGACAAGGCAGGTGTCTATCTCTTGCCAAAGAATTATCCTCCTGGTAAATTAGGATGTGCTTCCCTCTTTGCTGCCTCTTCTACTTTACCAGAAATGCCGGTCTAATATGCTCTTTATTCAAATTTCTCCATGCAGTTTTGGAATTTCAAAGGATCTGCTCATATTTCTGATACACAGTTTTTAAAATATATTTCTGAATTTTATACAGAATACTGAGCAGTTTTGTTGCAGTTTTAAATTCTTTTTGTTCATATGCCATTTATCTCCTCCTTCCTTACTAATGTGCCTTTTAAAACACTGCCAAAAAGCACTTTTGATATGATTATACAGACAGCTATGTCAGGATTCTTTGTTTCATATTTTACCCATGCACCCCAGCATATGTGCACATTACCTAATGTGCTTAATTCCACATATGTAAACTCCCCTTTCCATCTCCACTGGACTCAAATTTAAGCTCAGATGAAAGGGGATGAATGCAGAGGTTTGAGATGGAGCTCCAGAGCAAGCTTAGAATGTGGGGAGGGGTGGCTCTAATAGATTGGAATAATCAGAGATAGTTTATTGAGAAAAATCAGGGTTATAGGCAAGAAGTCAGAGCAGTACTTTGGTACATTCAGGGGTGGTCTTAGTGATTCTGGAGCCCTGTGCAAAAGAACAGGATGGAACCCTAGAAACACTGCCATCCCCTGCCACCAATGCCTGGCTGGAGCAGAACAGTGGGCAGCCATTGCTCCATGTGAAGCAGGTGGCAGCCATCACTGGAAGCTGGTTTCCCAAGCCCCAGATGGATTGGACACAACCTGCTGCCGCTGAAACAGCTGCCCAAGCTCTGGGTGGGTACTAGTGGCTGTTGCCATGAGTGGGTGGCCTGAGCCATGGTTGGAGTGGGTTCAAGTGGTGTGTTCTGAATCAGGCTACAGGCCTCTGGTGTCTCATTTTAGCATCTGCAGCAGACCAGCTGGGCAAGGCCAAGGAGAGAGGATGAAGAGAAGTTGGCATCAGATAACAGTCCATGAGTCAGAGTAAGCAGGCAACAGCATCTGGATCAACAAGGCCAGAGAAAGAGTTCAGAATGTGGGGTGTCAAGAAACAGTCCAGGAGTCAGGGTTATCAAGGAGCAGTCTGGTCCATAGCAGCAACTTTGGCATTTAGGAACATGTTGCGTCCTTGCCCACAAGTTTCCCTCATAACTCTTTGTAGTTGCTGGCATTGCACACAGCCAGCTTTCATCTTCACTGTCAGCCAGCAGCTGGTGCTGAGCAGAGAGGCATGCATTCCTATGTGTAGCCTGGAAGTCCTCCTTGAGTCTTTTCCTACAACATTCTAAGGGTGCTGGTGACCCTGGAGAAGTGGGAGCAGGTGGCTGGCCTTCAGCTGCCAGGTTAGACCTGGAAGGCTGGGATGGCTCTGCATCCACTCTCAGCTGTAGTTCAGGGAATACCTGAATCTCATCCCCCTATTGCTCTACTGCTGTTGGCTGTGGGTTGGCCACACTAGGCTCCTCCTCCTCTGAGGAGCCCATGCTGTCACTGAGCCCTGGATGGTCCATGACATGGTGGTGGTAGGAGCCTGGTTCTTCTTCTTCTGCTGCTGCTTCAGCTTCTGCTGCTGCTGCTGGGGAGTGAGACCATGTGTGGTTGTCCCCCCAGGAAGGGGCTGGGCAAGATGCCTCTGTCGTCCATTGTGCATTTTAGCACAAAATACGTTTCAGCACAAAATACCACACAGTCTGTAAATACATGTACCCAGTTCTGGTATCCATCTAGTAACTATTCCATGGAGCAGTATACACCTCAGAAAATAAGGCAAAGCGAAAGACAAGTAAACAGAGGAGGGAATGGAGATGGGGGAAAATATTAGCTCTCTTTTTCTGTTCATGGAAAGGTACATGGCATGGGGGGGGTACAAGTAGGTGATCCAGCAGCAATTCTAAGCAATAAATCCAAGAGACAGTAGTGCTGGGCACACAGGTATGAGACAAGCAAGTGAGCAAGCACATGTGCAAGCTTACAGTGTGCTGGTCGTGTGCTTTTTGGTACTGGGAAGGAGTCTCAGGCTGTGGTCACACCCACTAAATAGTCCACTTTCAGTGCACTTTCCAACTGGATTTTGCCTGTTCACACAGTTGGAATCCAGTTGGAAAGTGCACTGAAAGTGGATTGAAAGTGGATTATTTGGCATGTGTGACCGCAACCTATGTTAGCAAAATTGAGCACAATAGCAAAGCAAAAGTTGACCTTAGTAGATTTGCCAGGAGGAGGGAGAAAGTCTGGAAAAGTTAGAATTAACAGCTCTGATTGGTGGAAGAGGGAGTGCAAGGTGGAATGGCAGCTTGCTACTCCTCCAGAAAAGGAGCAAGGGCTTGGTGATATGAAAGATGATTGATTGGTCCATTTGAATGAGAACTGGTTGACAAGAATCTGGTTGGCCTGTTTGAATGAGAGCAGGTGTGAAGAAACCTTTCATATTAAGGAAATAAAAGCGGCTGTTTTGTAGATAGCCAACCTCCATTTTTGTCTAGGTATTCTGTAACATCTGTTCAACCATTCCGAATCTGGCAAAGGCAGTCTGGCCAAGTGCTAACCAAAATAATAGGGAGTGATGCCAACCAAATGGAGGTATATTGATCTCGCCAGCAATCAAAATACTGCCCCAAAAGTCTCTCTCTCTCTCTCTCTCTCTCTCTCTCTCTCTCTCTCTCTCTCTCTCTCTGTATATATACACACACACACATATACTTTTTTTGTTTTTTGGCAGTATTGTATCAACACCCACATATACACTGCTAACATACAATGTGAGGTGGGCAAAAGAGCCAACGGAACTGAAAGCTGCAGGAAACTGCACGGGTTCCAATTCCAGAATTTCATTAAAAATTCCATACAAAACAAACTGCTGGAACTATTAAAGAACAGAACTGAGGAAAATAAATTCATACCTAGGAATGCTGTCTTCAAGCTGAGAGTTTTATAATAGTACTTTTTTACCCCAGGAAATTATACATGGAAACCAAGAATTATGAGCATTAACAAACGTTAAAACATTGTGCCTTGGCCCCCTTTTTTCAAAGGAGGCACAAGGGACTATTGGTCACGGCTGGAAAGTCTGCAGCCAATGGTTAGAGAGTAACATGTAGTGTATGAGAGGCTACTTGCTTTTCCTCCCAGCCTTCTGTTGCTTGAGGCATCAGGTGTCCAGAGAATGCCATCAGATGACTTACAGCTGGGTCCTGGGAAGGACCACACTTGGTGCTGAGCAGCATCTTTCCCAACCTAGTAGAGGCCTTATGTCATGTCAGGGAAGTGCAATGAGGCTGGGCACCTCTTGGCACATAGTCCATAGGCAGGTGAAGATAAACAAGGACAGTGGAGGCAATGGCTAAATTTAAAGCCGGGGTGGATCAGCTCATAAAAGGCAGCAACAGTTACCTGCCTAGCACAGCCCACCCTTGGGATAGTTAGCTTAAATCACCGTTTAAATATATAAAACTAGTTGAACCCACACATCTATGGTGTCTACAATTGTGAGACACCAGGGCGAAGAGTAAAACTAGGGGTAGTCTGATATGGCCGGTTTTGTTTGTCTTTTATTCTGTATGTTGTCATTGGTTTTGCATAATTTTCCTTGCTGTCATTAATGACCCTTTTGTTTGTATATATGCCTATATACCTTTTCCACATTATATTCCATTGGTACACAATTGATGCACAAGTGATACAAGTAACATTGAAAAAGATGAGTTAATTTTAAGGGAGAAAATTGGCATAAAGGGGAAAATGTTCATGGTGGTGTATCTCACAAGAAGAAACAAAACTGCAATAGAAAGTTTCAAACCAAACAAAGCAGCTTTTGTTGTTCAGTCTCATCCCTAGTTGAAATAACTATATATTCTTGGGAAAACATTAATGAGACTTATTGTAGCAAATGTATTTTGTTCCACAAAGAATTTTTAGCTTATTTTTATTTATTTATACCCTGACCTCCCAGCTGAGACTGGCTCAGGGCAGCTTACATAAAAAGCCACATAAATACAATTAAAAACAGTTGTAAAACTTTCTAAAACCATCTGATATTATAAAGCACTAGTACTCATTATTGTTGTTTAACGATGGTGGCCATATTTGATAATCTGTTCTCACAGCCGGCTCATAGATCTTCCTTTAGGCGGCTGGCACAGGCTGTTCTTGGAATTTCCAGGGGACGGGGCTCTCCTTCAACTGTTGGGGTTGGCTCCTTGATTAAAAGCCTGGTGGAAGAGCTCTGTTTTACAGGCCCTGCAGAACTGCATAAGGTCTCGCAGGGCCATGATCTCTTCTGGGAGCTTGTTCCACCAGAACGGAGCTGCCATCGAGAAAGCCCTGGCCCTAGTTATAGCCAGGTAAACACAGAACAATGCAGCAACCTATTGTACATTTCCCAAGTGATGATCCATCAGGTAAAGCTAGCAGGCAGCTTGCATTTCTCACTGTGATGATTCAGCCAGCAAGCCTAGTAGATGTATTTTCCCATGAGGTGATTCAGCTAGCAAGCAAGGTTGCTGCATTGTTTGGTACACATTACTGTACATTGGTATCTATCCTCCATCAGGAAGAAAACATTTTATACTGGAGTGAGTTTCTGCGATTATGGATTCTTCGTGTTATGTAATTTAGTTTGAAAGTGTTTGAAATATGATATTGTAGTTTGAAAGTGTTTACAATACACTAGAGTTGAAAGTGTTTACAATACACTAGAGTTGATGTTGTGTTTATAAATCAAATATATTTAGCTATAAGTGCATGTGAATATTGTGTGTATTATTTCAACACCGTGTTTTCTGTGTTTACTTAACTTAGCCGTGTTCCCTGTGTGCTTGTTGTTACTCCTGGTAATAGCCAGCCTGGCCTCCTTGAGACTGAGGAGGCCGGCCAATTTTGGGACCCTGATCTCAGTGGTCTCTGGGGAACATGTGGGGAAAGGTGGCCCCTCAGGTATGTAGGCCCCTGACCATAAAGGGTTTTGTTTTAACCTTTCTATGCTGAATTTGCAGGCCTCTTTTATGTGAGGGGAATTGGAATATGAACTTCTCTTTTAGAATCATCACTTATTTGCATTCATTCCACAATGGTAACACTATTGATCCAATCAGGTGTGTGTTTACTAGGGTTGCCAAATCAAATTCGTCCGGTAGCGGGGGGCTCCCAGACGGCGTCCTCTTCGTGCGTGCCCCGCGTGCGTCACCCAGAAGTGGCGTCACACGCTGGGGGCGGGGGCAACTCCATTTGATTGGAAAACTCTTTGTTTTCCCCTCAAATGGCGTCGCCCCACCCCCAGCGTGTGACGTCACTTCTGGGTGACGCACGCGCGGGGGTGGGGTTTCCCCCGGGCCCTGATTCCGCGGGAGCAGGAATCGGGGCTCGAAACCGGGGGGAATTCCGCCCCCCGGGGGGATTTGGGACCCCTAGTGTTTACCCAGAAATAAATCTGAATTCATTGAAACTTATTTCCAGATGAGTTTACAACCTATGATTATTGTAGATCAGATTCTAAAGCAGGGAAATGGCTGTGGCTAATCCGACTAGTTGTATCACCTTCCCCCCCCCCTAGTGAATGCAATCTAATAGAAATGGTATTTCTAATATTTTAACAACAATGCCTCTGGTTGCATACTTAGGATGGCATGTACTTTTCTCCCCCTAGTTAATCACAGCTGTCCTGGCAATCAGTTTAAGTGTCATAATAACCGCTGTATCCCCAAGAGATGGCTTTGTGATGGAGCGAATGATTGTGGCAACAGTGAAGATGAATCTAATGAAACTTGTGCAGGTAAAAACAGTGTGTAGAAAACTCTTTTTTTTCTTTACAGGTTGTCTAAGTTTTATCTGATTCCCACATTTAAAGCTAAACTTTAAAACTATATAGAGCCATACTGTTACTGATGCTCTGATTACTGCCATTTTTAAAATGGATTGGAATTTTGCTGCCAGCAGGTTTGGAATACATATTTTACTTAATCTTTGTGCCTGACTCTACTTTCCAAAGTAATTTGGTCCATCTGTCCATATTACTTGACTGTCAAGTGGTCTGTTTGAAAGTCAAAACTTGTACCTCTTGAATATGAGTTTGTCCATGGAATTTAGTAGGCTGGGTTGAAAGGTATTATCTAAAAACATTCTTGTTTCATCATGCTTAATGCATACATTATTATTTATGTATTAATGCATACATAATTAAAATATGTGTGTATAAATATATATGTAATATTACCTCCCAAATAGTCTTGTGGTTTTAAACATGGTATTTATGTACAGTTGATTTTAAGGAAACCAGAAAACTACTCATGCCTTTTTTTTACCACATACACTTTTGGCAAGGCAAGGATATTATGGGTTGTTTTTTTTCTTGGTTGTTTTTTTTTAAGTATCAATTTCTCAGTGATACTATTTCTTAGTAACACTGCTGAGGTTTATAATTCCTAGGCCTGGGATATGAATTTTGGTGGTTCCAGTCTGAGGTGAGTATTGTCACTTGGGTTCATCTCCCTACTTCCCTCTCGCAGTATCCAGCAAATGGATGCTGCTATGAGGTGGCAAGGAAGGAAGAAGATTGTCACTCTCTTCTACTCTATCCTGTTCTGTACCTGGAAGGCCAGGTGGTAAGGCATAAGGGTCAAAGGAAGGTAGCAAGCAAGAGTATGAACTGACCATCAGACCTATAGGTGGAGTCTGGGGATCTCCTCAAGAGGCAAAAAGGGCCTGGAAAGCTGGAGCCTAGCCCTAGGGATGGGCTCTCCAGTCTGAAGCACAGGCTGGCTTTGTAGGAGATGTTGCATCAGCAGAGGTTGGAGCTCCTGGAGGGTTATACATGGAACTGATTATCTCAGCATTTCTGTAGATGTGTTAAGTCCCTGGTCCTGCTAAGCTCTAGAAAGCTGTGCTTTCCTTCTGAGTGAGACTGCAATGTAAGAGGTGTTGAGCTACCAGGCATGCACTTCTCTGCCTGGTCCAGGCTTCAGCACAGGCCTTCTATCATCTTTATTCATGGGGATGCTAGAGATATACGAATCCACTTAGGGAATTCCTGGTGTGCCTGTTGTGTGGAATCTTGCATAGGAGCCTGCTGTTGGGGAAGAAGCAGGGGGGTCTCCCTCTGGAGTTTTCAGGGTGCAGAGTCTCCAGCATGGTTGGGACCCTGGGGGCTCCATTCAAAGAGTCTCTCCTTCTTAGAGTCTTCCTCCTATATAGAGATTGCCCCGGGGCAGGTCTTGACACTCTTCTCCTTGTGTCTTGAATGCTATGTTGCCATATCTCCTAGTGGCTGGCTCATTGCCAGAGAGTGTTCAACGTGATGAGAGAGAGGGAGACACCTTTCCTCTCCCTCCATGCTGACACCACATAGCCAGATAAGTAGGGCTGAGAACACATTTAATATCAGGGATTCAGAAACTTGTAGCACTGTTGACAACATCTTTTGATGTGACACTGGACAAATGTATGCTTGAGTTATACCATGGAGATGAGGTTTCTGCATACCATAAATGGCTGTGCTTTGGAACAGTTGGTGGGGTAGTGGATCCTGGACTTAGTTCTGAGGGGGACTTGAGACCTGGTGCAGAAGAGGACAACCAAGATGACTAAGGGGCTGTGCAGCATGTTTCCTGAGAGGAAAGGCTTAAAAGTCTGGAACGTTTTGGCTTAGAAAAAAGATGACTAAGGGCAAGGGACATGGCAGAAGTTTATAAAATTATGCATGAGGAGGACAAAGTGGATTGAGAGAATGCTTTCTCCCCTAGAAAACAAGACTTGGTGGTACCCAATGAAATTAATAGACGATATGTTCAAAACAGACAAATGGAAGTATTTCTTTACTCACCAAGTAATTAAATTGTGGAATTCATTGCTGGTGGATGTAATCATGACTGCTGGTTTAGATAGCTTTTAAAAAAGATTAGATGGATTCCTGAAGTATAAGGCCATAATGGCTACTAGCATGTTGACCTGCTTGTTGTCCTTCTGGAGGAACTGATTGGTCTCTGTGTAATACAGGCTGCTGGACTGGATGAACTTATATTCTTATTACTTTGCTTCATGATAGTTGGTATATGTCACACAAGATGGAAAAGTCTGTGTTGCATGGTAAACTCCTATCACCACATATGGAAGTATTCATATGAATAGTTCCCACATGAAAATAATGATAAGAAAAGATAAAGTTTGGGTTAAGTCAATGGTGCCTTTCCATTGACGGAGAAATCTTGCATTCATGGAAGGAGTTCTCGGTTGACGTAAAGACATCTTCCATCAACCAAGCCACAGAAGGTGTGATTGGAATTAACTATTTTTATTCCATTTTAGTGCTTTCTTGTTGTTCTTGCTCTTCCTGTCACCTGATGTTTCCTGTCAGAAATACTATATATTGGAGATCTGGGTTGCAGCACTGCGAGATGGATGGAGCTGGGACTTGCTCCCAGGCACCACCGGCTTCTCATTATCTTTAGAGAGGACTCGGGGGATCCTGAGCTCTGCTGCACTCCCTGGAGGGGTGTGCAATGCAAGGGATGCAACCCAGGCCCCCTGCCTAATGGTGATAGGTGAGTGGAAGCCTGTGGATTGTCTCTAGCGAGAAACAAAGAACACCCATGGTCAGCAATGGGTGACTAGCTGTCACTACTCACTAAAGAGGGACTTAAAAGCTGGTACCTCATCAACAACATCAATGAAGCATAGCACCGTGAGTACGTTTTAAAGCAACTTTAACCGAAATTCTACTAACTGAAGCATAGCACTGTGAGTACTTTTCTACTACATAACGTCAGCCCTTGCAAAGATTAAAAATACTGGAAGGGAGGGGTGAAGAATTTTTCTGTCCCCCCCACCTTTGCCGTGGCTAGCAAAAGGATCTAAAGTTAACTGTGTAAACAATCTACTGGGCGAAGAAAACAAGACTGCATCTTCTTCAATTGACACTGCCAAGAATTATTACCCTCTTTACGACTCTGAACTTTCCTTTCTATGGTAACTATGTAATAAATATTGAATTTTGGGATTTGCTATAATTTATTAATTGAATGATAAAGGCTTGTATTTTAATGAATCTTACTCTGAATTTGTTTATGTATTTAGTTCTCATAATAATGTGTGTTTGTCTCTACTGAAAGTGTAAAACTCCACTTTTGCCTGACTAATTGTTTTGGAATGCAAACTTCTGATAAGCCTTTCGCCCTATGTTAACCTCGTCTACAACACAGCAGCTCCGCACATACACTTTCTAACATTGTTATCTCTGCAAAATTTGGCTTGGGAAATTATCTTTAGAGTCTCTTTGATTTTACAATAATTTCTGGAAAAATGACTTTTAATGATAGACTGCAGAATACTTCAGAGGCTTTATTGTTAGTTATACCAAAATTTATGGATGATAAACCTATTCAAATTCCCTTGAAAGATCTTCTGAATATGCTCACTGTGGCCATTAAAAAAGCTGTTCAAGAAACGTTTCACTCAGTACAGACAGAGATCCAAATAAAGACCCAACAACTCAAATCTAAGAATGAAATAGCCCAGACAGCGTGGAAAAAGGAGGAAAAAAGATCAGATTGCCTTGAAAATGCTGAGGGGACCTACAAGCAATATGAGTAGAATTTGCCTACAAAGCCAAATACAACCATTACAAAAATGTACCAGAGACTTTATAAAAAAAAATATGGCTGATGAAATTCCCAAAACAGTGACTTCTTTACCAACTCAGAGACAACAAAAAAATCAATTTATGGAATTACAAGCTACTACAAAGAGGGAATATAGACAGCTATTCTTAGAAGACTATTTTTATACTTATAAAGGGAAGAGACACAGAATTAAGACTTTAAAACTTAAGAGGATGAATCAGAAAATCAAGAAAAAGTTGATAACTACAAAAATTTTGGGGAAAGCATGAGAGAACTCCCTCCATTTTAGATCTATATCATTTACATATTGAGGGAGTGTGACGTGCTTCTTCTGTGGGCTTGGGGAAAACCCACCAGTGGCCGTGGCGCCTGGCTTCCCTGCGGGGTGGACGCCGCTAGGAGTCAGAAGTGGATCGCAAAACGGAGCTGCGGAAGGACCTCAGATTGGCAGGGGATGGGGTTAATGGTCACAGACCATTGATCGCTCCCTCGCACGCTGTTCCTCCCCGGTCTCTCCGAAGAGCTCCTCTTTTATTTCCCCCTTCCACTCCCGGCGCCGCCCCTCTTCCCCACCTCCATTCTCCCTGACCTGGCTCCGCCCCCTCTTATATACACGGATGCTCTCCAGGCATCCGGGGTGTGGTTGCAAGCAAGCCGGCGGTGATCCTGTTGGCCCTGGGGCTGCGCCACCGCCACCATCTAGGCACTTCACCATGCTTGGCCTCAGCTCCCCCTCGGATAAATATCAGAATGTAAACATTCTAAGAATTGGCTTAATGCAGGAAATGAACGTACCTTAGTTATGTATGACTTTACTAAAAATTTATCCAGTCTCTGTACTTTATAATTTTGATTTAAATGTGTTTTTCTAGCAAGAACATGTCAAGCTGACCAATTTGCTTGCACGAACGGGCGTTGTATTCCAAATCCATGGCTGTGTGATTGGGAGGATGACTGTGGTGACAAATCAGATGAAATGGCATCTTGTGGTAAGTTAATCTACTGTCTTTATATGCAGCACTATATTGGCAAATCAGATACTGACTTTTAAATATAATAAAGCTGCTGCATGATGGCTGCTGAACAATTCAGTTTCAGCACAAGGGACTGCGACTTACAACACCCCCCCCCCCCCCCCCGGGGTTCCACTTCACATGGACTTCTGGTGGTGCCTGCCCTCAGGACACTCATTTAACCTTGACCAGAACAAGGGCTGTTTTGATTGTAGCCCCAACCTGGTGGAATGCTCTGTCTGGAGAGACTCATGCCCTGAGGGACCTGTCTCAGTTCCGCAAGGGCTATAAGACAAAATTATTCCTCTAGGCATTCCATTGAGGCAGTTTTACTGGACCTACTATCAGCTTCTCTGATCATCATGCCAGAGTCCCAGTGTGTTAAATTATTTTATAGAATATTTATTTTTTATCTATGTTTTGCTTTTATGTGCTTAACCATCCTGAGCCCCGATTGCCAGGGTGGGAGGCAAATCTAAATATATAGATTTTTAAAAAATTGTTGCTTTGGTGTGTCCTCCCCTCAGTTTGCTCTAATGTGTGATTATTTATTTATTGAAATATTTTTATTTTGCCTTTCTGTCTGAATAACTCCTGTCATTGGATCCAAAGGGAAGCTCCACTCCCCCTTTTATCTTGTACAACATTATCATCCCATTCTCGAAAAGCTGCTACTGAGGGTCAGGGAACCTTCTGATACAATCTGTGCGGCTTTAGCTAGAGGAAGAAATCTGATGGAATCACGCATGCATATGTTGCACACACACACACACACAGAGAGAGAGGAAACTTGTAAAATGGTTCAGATCTGGTTTAATATTATAAACGAAAATCTCTCAACAGTATTCTAAAAGCTCCATTCTGCTTAGGAAAGTTCTTGTCTATTCTCTAAAGAGAGAATCTACCCCAAATTCTGTAATCTCTCCTATGTTATAATCCTGTTTTGGGGTGGCAAGATTCAATGCACACCAAAATCAGTTGGCTGCCTGATCTGCCACTTAGAATGTCTGCCAATGCCCTGGCTGTGTTGGGTGGCTGCGTGGCCTGAATCCCACCCACACAGCCGACAGCCAGTATCTCACCCTCAGTCTACAGAGAGCCACCAAAGAGGATGGACGCTCTGCCAGGAAGACGCTTGGGACACCGAGGCTGACCATGGCAGTGGCGCACTGGTCCTTATTGTTGATGACACCTGATCTGGGGCATAACCCATACTACCTTGGGGCAAATTGGGACAGTTAACCCCCCATCCCCCATACAGTGCTGGAAAGGGGACCATAGAATATTTATTTTTTATCTATGTTTTGTATTTATGTGCTTATCCATCCCAAGCCCCAATTGCCAGGGTGGGAGACAAATCTAAATATATAGATTTTTTAAAAATTGTTGCTTTAGTGTGTACTGGCTCAGTTTGCTTTAATGTGTGATTATTTATTTATTGAAATATTTTTATTTTGCCTTTCTGTCTGAATAACTCCTGTCATTGGATCCAAAGGGAAGCTCCACTCCCCCTTTTATCTTGTACAACATTATCATCCCATTCTCGAAAAGCTGCTACTGAGGGTCAGGGAACCTTCTGATACAATCTGTGCGGCTTTAGCTAGAGGAAGAAATCTGATGGAATCACGCATGCATATGTATACACACACGCACACACAGAGGAAACTTTTAAAATGGTTCAGATCTGGTTTAATATTATAAACGAAAATCTCTCAACAGTATTCTAAAAGCTCCATTTTGCTTAGGAAAGTTCTTGTCTATTCTCTAAAGAGAGAATCTACCCCAAATTCTGTAATCTCTCCTATGTTATAATCCTGTTTTGGGGTGGCAAGATTCAATGCACACCAAAATCAGTTGGCTGCCTTATCTGCCACTTAGAATGTCTGCCAATCCCCTGGCTGTGTTGGGTGGCTGCGTGGCCTGAGTCCCACCCACACAGTTGACAGCCAGCATCTCACCCTCAGTCTACAGAGAGCCACCAAAGAGGATGGACGCTCTGCCAGGAGGATGCTTGGGACACCGAGGCCGACCATGGCAGTGGCGCACTGGTCCTCCGTGGCTGCGACAGGAGGCAGGGAGCTGCCCGGCCTGTGAGGCAAGGAAAACACCTGCAATGAAGCCTGCTCACAATGGGGTCCTCCCAAGGCAGCCTCAGCCCGGCTCACCCTCTTCCCACATACATGCTTGGAGGTGAGCGCGGTGATGCTTCAGTTGAGCCCACCCAGCCGTGAGGTAGCTGAGCCCCTGCCAGGCCCTCCTCCTGCTGCTGCGCTGCTGCCACCTCCTGTACTGAGCCCAGCCACTGCCTCGGCCTGCCCCAACAGGCCGGGCAAGGCATTCAGCATCTGCTGCACCATGTCGCTCATCCCTGGGCTGACACCGCCGATGCTCCAGCTCCCCTCAGCTGCTGCATCCCTGGAAGAGAAGGCCACAGTCTGCCCTGCCAGAGCTTGCTTGCCCGGTCGGCCACTGCCGACTCATGCTCACTACCAGCCTCCTCTGGAGGAGGCCAAGGGAAAGGCCCGGCGCTTTTCGGCATGTACTTTAGCAGAAACTCTCATGGAGCTGAATGGGGCTTCCTTCTGAGTAGGCAGGCCAACTGGCTGGCCTACGCTGGAGCACTGAGGGAAGGAAAGGGAAGGCCCGTCCTGAGGGGGAAACAGGTCACGAGTGGCCTGAGGAGATTTCCCCGCAGTCCCCAGAATGGTTTACAAATGTGTGGAGTTAAACTTAGGGTTGCCAACACCCGGGTGGGGGCTGGAAATCTCCCGAAGCTAGCGCAAGGGTTATTTGAAAATCAAAAAAAGGGGAGGATCTCTTTCCCAACTGACTGCATCATTCTGCATCAGCTGGAGTTTCTAAACAATTTTCAAAAGCATCCCTTACCCTTAGCTGAGACTTTAGCAGTAATCTAGTCTGGATGTAATCAAAATGTATGAAAAAGGGGCTAAATACATTTTCCCCCAGTATCAAGCTGGTGTGTGAATGTGAGTGGACAAAAGTGCTTCTGGAAGGAGGTGCCATATAAAAATCCAGGAATACCTCCAAGCTGCAAACCTGATTCTTAATGGGGAATGTGATCCCACTCAAAACAGCTGTTCCACTGATCAAAATCATTTCCTTTTTGACTGGATTAAGATTCGGTTCTAAGCATCACAGTTTGATATCAGGTTCAGGATATTCTCAGCTTTTCTTCACTCTGATCAAAAGGAGAGATAGGTATCCTCAGGTTTGTTTGTTTTTTACATAATAACACACATTGGCTGAGTTCAGACTGGTAATTTGAAGCACTAGGGAGTCATGGCAAAGAAGACCCGGAACAGACCGGGAATGACTTGTTCGCGGTATTCCCATTCACACTGCAGTGAATGAAGCAGGAGGATACCATGGAGGATACCCCCCCAATCCCCCATACAGTGCTGGAAAGGGGACCTGGGAAGTAACATACAGCTGAACTGAGACCTTTGGTGTACTATATGTCTGTGCTGGTGCAAGTGTGGTAGTGTATGAGTGGGCAGTGGCAAAGGACCCGGAGGCAGGATATTGACCCCAGGGTCCCCATGGCCAAGCAAACCCGTGTTGTGCCTGATCAGACTTACCATCTGGGCCACTGCTAGGTCTTTCAGGCACTCCAAATCTGTGTTCAGCCTAGAGTCCCTGAACCACCATGCCCACTGCCATACTGTCGTCTACAGCAGAAGTGGCCACATATCAATTCTATTATATGCAGATGATGTGCTTCTTCTATCAAGGATGCTGCTGGGACTCCATAGGCCTCTTGATAGCTTTGCCACATATTGTGAAAAAGAAAATCTTGCCAGTAATTATGATAATCATGATAAGACCAAAGTTATAGTATTTGGCAGACGCCTCCAAAAAAGAGTATGGCCAATGAAGGGAAATAAAATCGAGCGGGTCAATAAATTCGCTTACCTTGGGGTAGCATTCCAGGAGACTGGGTCTACTGCTGCACATTGTAACCTCAGAGCAGAGTGTGCCGAAAGAACTAGGTATGTGATACTAAGATTTTTTCACTCCAAGGGGGGTCTATATGTACCTGCTGCATTGAAGTTCTTCCAGGCTAAAGTAATAGCCCAACTCCTATATCAGCAACAAGCTTGAACTTACTCGAAAAGATACAATCCAAATTCCTTTATGTTATTTTACAGGTCCTCAGCCGTCTTTAACTCTCTTCTCTGTGTAGAAGCAGGCCAAATGAGGATTGAGGCAAGGATTTTGCTGACATCTGCTTTCTTTCTTTCTTTCTTTTTTTGGCCCCCCGAAGGGGATTTTTTTATTGCTATTCTATAAACTACAAAGAAAATAGGGAAGGGAATCTAATATGTACGGGAGAAAGAAAAGTTAACCACTAAAAACCCAAGTAGTGAAGATCATTGCATAAATTTATAAATTGCTTAATCTAATCTATTAATAATAATTAAGCTTGAATGTTTAAATCTAGCCAATATTCCCCAAAACCCGATATCAATTACTGTTTAAGACAATCACAAAAGCATCAAACTTAAATGTAACTTCTTAAAGGTGGAATTCAGAGTCCCTCCACATCTCATTTCTTGGCATTTCTTTTCCTCAAATCGTAATCTCTCTTGGGGGCCACAGCCCCCAACTCCGAATCAGAGTCCTCCTCAATATTTGAAGAAGAGTTTTCACCGCTTTCTTTCTCCTGGTCTTCATCTTTGTCATCTTCTCCGGACCTTCGCAGTTGCTGCTTCAAGAACTCATTTGCTTTCTTAACAGAGTCAATTCTTTCTTTTTTTCATTTATTCTGAAGAGTAGGCCTTCGGGAACCAACCATTTGTACTGTATGTTATTTGTTTGTGAAAACAATGCCAAGTCTTTGAATTTCTTCCTCTTCCTTCTAATTTCAAATGGAATGTCTTCCCGAAGGAGGCTTAAGCTGTGATGGTTTCTCTTACTCACCTCTCTGCCCCGCCATTTTTGAGGATTGTTTACTT